GAGGAAATGGTGTCGAAAAATAAAGAGACAGTGAATGTGTAAACAAAAATGGTTTTCAAGTTGTCATCGTCTTGAGTTAAAAAAAAAAAACATTTGTGACTTACTTATTGACTTCCTCTCTAATATATTGGTTGAACGAGGTGGAAATATTCTTTTCCGAAATTGACATTAGAGGCCAAACACGTCTACCTTAGGACATTGCTTACATCACTGTATGAAGATTCAGGGGGGATACGTGTGGACGGCGGCGACAGAAAAGACAATCGTAGACATGATACAGGTAAAAAATGTTTCTGTTTCTGAGGAAGGGGTTCACACACATTGAGTCGGAAAACATTCTAACTATCTGTGGTGGAGCAGTAAGAGAGAGCAGAGCTGGAACTTCCAAGTCTCTTTGACATTCTCATACACGCTAAGTCCTCAGATGCAGATTTCATCTCATTCCCAAGATAAATCTACCGACTGTCCCTAAACGATACTAGTTATGATGACTCCTGTCCTGACATACGGGACTCGCCGTGGCGGAGCGGCTAGACGCTCGCCAAGGATTGGAAGGTCGTGGGTTCGCTCCCTTATCTCCCAAGTCGACCCAGCCTTTAGTGGGTACCGGGGCCAGCCCCGGGAAGTAAAGGCGGCCGGCGTGATGCTGACCACATCGCCTATTGCCATTGGTCTATAAAATATAGGTCTAGCCCTATATGCCATATACGCCTAAAGACATGGAAAATTGTTCTTTACTTTACTTACTTTACTAACTATCATGACATCAAAGGTATTAGGGCAGTATTTTGGACCTATCCTTCCCATACTTCTCATTCTGATATCGAAGGTGTTGGAGCAATAATTTTTGACGTTGATTTTTTCAATCCATTCCATGTGCCCCCGCCCCCCAACCTCTCTTTCCTAACACATTATTTGCCAGTTGCTCCGCTCGTTGATAACATTTTTTTAAAGAACCAAGTCATGTCAAGATGTGTAAATCCAGGTGAGGGAGGTGAAGTGCGATTTTCTGATGCTGTCTACCAATCCACGGACGAGATCCTTTTTGCGATTTTCAGGAAAATGTTTATTGAAGTCTGATCATCTCACGTGTGCCAGCTTTTCTGCTGCCATGGCGAATGCATTTGGAGGCGGCGGTTATATCCGTGGCAGCGTCAGAAGTAACGCAGGGAATCGAGGACACAGCCAGAGAGAAAAATGCAATAACATATATCAAGAGGTTAGTGCAATGGGGTGAAAAATTTAGACGCCATTCTACACTGTACAAGCCATACTACCTATCAATGTCAGCTAGTGTCCTGAGGATAACTGACAACCGTTGTTTTCAGACTTGCATGGGTCTTTCGATGAGGAGTTGACATCAGTCTCCAAGACAGCTAATTCGTTTATGCGTAGTCCTTAACGTAGTTGTAAAATTGGCAGTATTGTTATATGCTAATGAAGGATGTTTAGCCGCAGCAGTGGCTTTGTCATCTTGGATTGTGTTTTATCATAAAGCTGGCTAGTTCTGATACTTATTTTAATTAATGTTTTTGGTGTGTGCAAATAAAAGGACCAATCGACTCTCCTCGAGTCAGGAACCTTGACTTTGAGTAAGAAAAACAGATAAGCATGTAGCACGAGAACACATAGATAATTGACAAAACGGAAGTAGTTGTACACGAACCCACACCACACATACAGACACATAACTGTAGCAACAGTAACAACAAACGGAGCAGAAGCTGTCGATAGCATATTTGTGTACTGTGTTGTTCTGTGTGTGCTGATGAAGGCTCATCGCCGCAACGTCTTTTGTTTGTTTATTGTGATCGATTTCGTAAAGCTAACATAAACTATTTGTTCTTTCTTATCCCCTTTTTCTCTTCCCTATAATTTCTCACCACTTTAAAAACTGCTGCAGAAGAAAAGAAATATTCACCAGCGTCCTAGACAACGGAAACAGACCACCAATCCTATTTTCCAGCCGCCAAAGATCTCTAATACAAAGTTCCGAAACAGCCTCGACTGTGGCCTCGTACGATCGTCTGCAACATGTCCAACACCAGGTATGGCTCTAAAATCTCTTGTCTGTTTCATTCTTGTTTTACTCCCACAAATTATTTCAGTCATGAGTGATCATGCATTTGTGGATGAAAAAGATAATAGAAGAGAAATATAAGAAACGGTTAGACAATTACGATCGATGATCCAATTAATTTTAGTTTTATAATGTTTGTTTGAATTAACTTCATGGTGTTGAACTGTTGTGTGGCGGACAGTGTCCGGGACACCACTGACTGGACTATTAATTACTATTCACTATTGATGCCAAAGTCCAAATCAGATTATGTTCAATATGTCTGGCACACAGAAGACTGTATTCAAAGTTAGACTAACGTTTACTAATAATAAGGTTCGTCCATAAACATATATTATTGTGTAAACATGTTCTTATACTTATATAATAGTAATAATTATAGTATACTAATTAATTACTAGACAACAGTCACTATTCAAAGGCGATGAGTGTAACAGTAACAGCAGTTGATAAAATCAGATCCTGCAGGAGTTAACTCAGCCTGACTGCTCATTGATTCCTTCACTCAAACCAGAAGTGCTCTGATACCCGTTTCTGTACCCCCCCCCCCCCCCCAATGTTTATTTCAGGGTATGTAATGACTTAAACCGAAATAAACACTGCTGAGATGTCTTTAGATCCAATTTTTTTAAATGGAAAATACAATTTTGCAACATCAGGCTATTATTTTATATGGGCAGAACTGACCGATGCCTGAAAAAACAAGTTGCTGAGCACATGCCAGGGTGGGTGAAAAAATCCATCCAGAATAATATTTAAGATGAGACTACCAGCTGTGAAGATCATCCCTCCACAATAGAATGCCATCTTTTAAAATCTGGACATACCATAACCAAGGAAAACACATTTCAAATCCTGAATATGTCAGCCAGTGGCAGAACACTGAGATGTCTTAAAGCTGCAGCTATTCATCGCCTGCATTCTGAACTCTGTATACAAAAAGATATGGTTCTGACATTGAGGCTGCCAGCAAAAACAGGTAGATGTCTTAACTTTTACCTCAGTTATAAAGGATTCATTTATCTGCTTCATTTATGTAATTGTCACTATAGTAGGCACCTGATGAAATGCAGCAAAAAATGCCTGGCAATAAATTGTGCAATCTTTTTTGTGTGTTTTCTTTGTTCATTTTAGTAGTAGTCGCTGTTAATTTAACACTAACCCTAATCCCCCTGGGAGTCGCCGTGGCAGAGTGGCTAGACGCGCGCCACGGATCGGAAGGTCGTGGCGGAGCCCAACTTCTCTTCAAAAATGACCTTGGCTCCCAGGTTGACCCAGCCTTAAGTGCCAACCGGCTGCAGTCCCGGGAAGTAGAGGCGGTCGGCGTGATACTCGTCACACTGTCACAGTGATTGGTCACATAATGTGTCACCATGACCGGTCAAATAGTTTGTCACAATGACCAGTCACATAATTTGTCACCATGGCCTGTCACATAGTTTGTAACAATGATTAGTCACATAGTTTGTAACAATAATTAGTCACATAGTTTGTCACAATGATTGGTCACAATGATTGGTCACATAATTTGTCACAATGATTAGTCACATAGTTTGTTACATAGTTTGTCACAATGATTGGTCACATAGTTTGTAACAATGATTAGTCACATAGTTTGTCACCATGATGGATCACATAGTTTGTCACAATGATTAGTCACATAGTTTGTAACAATAATTAGTCACATAGTTTGTAACAATGATTAGTCACATAGTTTGTTACAGTGATTGGTCACATAATGTGTCACCATGACAACAAATAGTTTGTCACAGTGACCGGTCACATCGTTTGTCACCATGGCCTGTCACATAGTGTGTCACAGTGATTGGTCTCATAGTTTGTCACAATGATTGGTCTCATAGTTTGTCACAATGATTGGTCTCATAGTTTGTTGCAATGATTGGTCTTATAGTTTGTCACAAAGATTGGTCTCATAGTTTGTTGCAATGATTGGTCTTATAGTTTGTCACAAAGATTGGTCTCATAGTTTGTCGCAATGATTGGTCTCATAGTTTGTTGCAATGATTGGTCTCATAGTTTGTCGCAATGATTGGTCGCATAGTCTGTCACAGTGATCGGTCACATAGTTTATCAAAATGATTGGTCACATAGTTTTTCACAGTGATCGGTTACATAGTTTGTCACAATGATTGGTCACATAGTTTGTCACAGTGATTGGTCACATAGTTTTTCACAGTTATTGGTTACATAGTTTGTCACAGTGATTGGTCACATAGTTTGTCACGATGATTGGTCACATAGTTTGTCACAGTGATTTTTTACATGGTTTGTCACAGTGATTTATCACATAGTTAGTCTCACTGATTTGTTACAGTAATTTGTCACATAGTTACTCATAGTGATTGATCACATAATTTGTTGCTGTGATTTATCACACAGTTTGTCACATTTAGATATATTTCATCAAATGAGATTTAAAAATGTGTGTTCACCAGATCATTCTCAGGAAAGAACTTGTCTCTTTGGGATGTCAGGAACTGTCACGTCACAGATAAGCCCCACTATGTCGTGACTTTCACTATTCCTGGCCTGTCACTTGAAAGTTTTGACAATTACAGTAAGTTGTATGTGTTTTATCCTTGTGTGGATTCTGGGGCCCCATTTGGAGAGTTGGGAGGGGTGGGGGGGGGAGGGGGGGGTACACAATCCTAGCTCTGTAAAAATCTACATTCTTGGCCTGGGATCCATACCACACTCCTAGCTCTGTAAAAATCTATATTCTCTGGAAATTACCTAGGATCCATACCACACTCCTAGCTTTGTTAAAATCTACATTCTTGGGACATTACCTGGGATCAAAACCACACTACTAGCTCTGTAAAAATCTACATTTTTGGAACATTACCTGGGATCAACACCACACTCCTAGCTCTGTAAAAATCTACATTCTTGGAACATTACCTGGGATCAACACCACACTCCTAGCTCTGTAAAAATCTACATTCTTGGGACATTACCTGGGATCAACACCACACTCCTAGCTCTGTAAAAATCTACATTCTTGGGACATTACCTGGGATCAACACCACACTCCTAGCTCTGTAAAAATCTACATTCTTGGGACATTACCTGGGATCAACACCACACTCCTAGCTCTGTAAAAATCTACATTCTTGGGACATTACCTGGGATCAACACCACACTCCTAGCTCTTTAAAAAGCAGTCGTATACCAAATCATCTGCAAATTAGTTCAAACTCCAGTTGGTCTGGACTGTACAACTGTGACTCAGATCAAGATCTTACTGCCCTGATTGGGTGGGTAACCAAATGTCTGTGTAAAGTGACACACATATCAACTTGTAATCCATTGCTCAGTGTGCAGTAATGGTTATTGTCATTGCATGTCAATGTAGAAGCTTTTTAATGTCATCAATCCATTTTCTCCAAGACCGCCTCTTGCTCAACTTCAGATCTTTTTATGTTTAGTGCTTTGCATTGGTAGTTAGTTGTTCTCGCTGCATTCTTTCTTGTTGACCAAACCATTTTATCTTCTGATTCTCAGTGAATTTGTTGCATGGTGTTGTTCCTACAGTCTGTCTGATAATATCAATTTCTAACTGTGTCTCGTTTGTTGAGTTGGCGGCTCTTCTCAGGCATGTCATTTCACAGGTCTTAATTTTTTCATAGGTAAGCTGCACAATTTATTGCCTGGCATATTTCGCTGTATCTCGTCAGGTGCATACTATAGTAACAAATGCATAAATGAAGCAAATAAATGAATCCTTTATAAGTGAAGTACAAATTCAACAAGAATCAAATCACACTGCCTGTTTTACCTGTTTTAAATGCAGCTGTGAAGCTGCTTATGTAGGCAGATCTGTTTGACGCCTGAGTAAACTAGTTGCTGAGCATATTCCAGTAAGGGTTGGAAAAATGCAAAATAAAAATCAGAATGAGAACAGCGACCATATAGACATCCCTCTACAAAAGCAAACCATCTTTTAAAATACTGACACATTTTAACCAAGGACAACGCCTTTAAAATCCTTCACATGTCATCCAATAGCAGAACGCTAAGATTTCTTAAAGCTGCCTTGAATCGTTACCCCCATCCTGAACTCTGTCAATAGAAAGAAATGATTCTGACATTGCAGCTGTCCTGGTAAAGCAGGCAGTTGCATTTGATTGTTTCCAAATTTGTACTTCAGTTATAAAGGATGCACTTTATGTGTGCTTTATTTATGTAAATCTTACTGTAGTATGCACCTTTTGAGATACAGCTAATACTTATGTTTGGACATCTTCTTCTTCTTGTTCACCGGCTGTGAATTCCGGCGGTAAGTCGCGGTTGTTTGTCCAAAATGGACTTTTGGCTTTTACCTTGACCTGAGTTTTGCGTGTACATCCGTTTTACTGGCTTATTTGTTTGCAGTTTTCGTTCCCCGCCTCTCCGGCAGATGTACTCCGACTTCGGAGGAAGTTTGGACATCTGAAACGAGTGTCAGTTGGTATATAAATACACTGGCAAGGATTCTGTCATACCATCTACTATCCTCTGTTCCACACAGACACCACATAGTGAATGTTTGTAGTTTATTGTTTTATTTCTCCATGTTTCCGCTCCATACAACAGGACTGATTTGACTTTGACATAAGAATAAACAATTATAAGTGTAAAGAATTAAAAATTTTAAGTTTTTTATTAGTTTAAATTTTTTTTTGACCTACACAAATTCCTTAGTGCTATGAATGCTGCTCTTGCCTTTTATATTCGTATTTTAATATCTCTGACAGTTCCCCCCCCCCCCCCCCCCTCCTCCATCTTTATCTACCTGACTACCCAAATAGCTGTAAAACTGCACGTCTTGGCGTAGGAAACCACATTACTATTTAATAAAAGGGGTTAAAAAAAAGGCCATTTTGTTTTCATTTTATATTTTTCAGGTAATGCAAATATTATCAGCCTCATGAAAACTGCGATGGCAGCTAGAACATACATTCTCCATCATCCTGACCCGGTGACGGGAGACGTATTCCTTGACTGGCCAAGAGTTACCAGTGACAGATACATGTTTATGTCGTCAGCAGAATACACCATGTCCCGAAAACTGTATGACTCCAGCATTCCAAAATGGCCTCTTGATGCCAGATTCTCCTTGGGAAATGTTGGAAACTCATCTGTGTCTTACGTAATTGAGCTTTATGTTCACAACGAGAATACAGCTCCCTTGTGGAAATGTGTGACTCAGTCAGTGTCCATCGACACTGCTACACGGAAACCTTCACCCCTGCCAGACTGGTTCAAGGACAAGTATAAAGGGAAAGGTTGTATGGACAAGGGCTTCATAATCAGAGGGTTTGATCGACCCTCCCTCACATACAAGCACCAGTTGCAGGTAACCTCTAATGCTTATCTTAGATTCAACTAAAATAATAGAAAGATTTAGAGAAATGTATTTTTTTCAAAGAATATTTTATTTTTTAGTTTTTTTTTTTTTTGCAGATAACATTTTTTGTATATTTCATATTTCATCCACTGAGTATTGTGTGTGTGCATGCACGTGTGTTAATATCTCAAATTTAAACTATGTAATTTTTTTTCGGTAGAAAACATTTAGTGCTTATCTTAAATTTTATTTTATTTGTTTTCAATATGATGAAAAGAGCTTGCTAGATAAGACTGAGATCAATAGCATGTCACTGATTTTTTTTGTCCAAATTATCTGGTGTGCTGGGTAATGAGTAGGTTGAGAGATTGGCTGCTTCTCCTCTTGGTGGTGAACTAATTGATGATACAGTGGACAGTGGGCTGCATTAGCGCAGTCGATAGGACACACGCTTTCAAATCCACCTGCGACTCGCAGAGCACGGCCTGTGTGTGAAACAGGATGGTTGCTAGGGTTCACCTAACCTCTAGGAAATGTGTACCAGAGTTAACACTCTAGGGTAAATGGAGGAACGTCACTGTAGCTACGGAGTTCCGTGCAGACGGCGACACAGGCAAATAGTTTTTTTTATCAGCTGTCGGTACTGGTGGCAGGGCACTTATGGTTTATAACCGTGTGCAATGACGCTGGTTCACATCTCCCGGCTTCACCTTTACAGTAGACATGGTAGAAAGGTTGTCTAGGATCAAGTTCACATTGCAGTGATACTGAGTATCCCTACCTCAGAAGGGAAACACACCGAGAAACACACAGGGAAACACACAGGAAAACACACACGGAAACACACAGGGAAACACACAGGGAAACACACAGGGAAACACACAGAGAAACACACAGGAAAACAGGGAAACACACAGGGAAACACACAGGGAAACACACAGAGAAACACACAGGGAAACACACAGAGAAACACACAGGGAAACACACAGGGAAACACACAGGAAAACACACAGGGAAAAATTGGGCACTGGATCATTTTTAGAATTTTCTGGAAAAGAAACCTGATAAGGAAAAGAGCCGGCCATCCCAGCTAATGTCATGGCCTAGATTATGTGAAAACCTGAGACATCACCTCCCAACCACAGTGTATGCTATGGGATTAACTTTTCTCTAATGTAGTACAGAAAGGTCATGATTGAACAGCCATTAGAGACCAGCCATGTCATCATCAAGTTTCCCCATTGATTGACTGATCGATTAATTGACTCCCCCGTGTGGGTTCCGAGGCCCCATTGTAGGGGAAAACAAGAATAGACCCACTGCCTCCCCAAAAGCATGTCGTAAGAGTCGACTAATTGGGGAGCTTCTTTGAAGTCGGAGTGCATCTGCCGGAGAGGCAGGGAACCAACAATCTGTATTCAAGAGAATGAGATCTGTAAAACTGATGCACACGCAACACTCAGGTTCTGGGGCAGGACTGCAGTTCAGTAGTGGACGAGCAACCAGAACTTTCCGCCAGAGTGTACAGCTGGTGAACGCGGAGAAGAAGATTGATTTAACTCTTTCAAGCCATAAACAGGTCTTGAAATTGGTAATTCCTGAAAAAGTATTAGTTTACACAGGTCACTAATAAATTTGCGAAGCCTCTATGTTGGCATCTCAGGACCGAAAGTTTCGAGCCAACATCAAAGCTATGTTGGCATCTCAGGACCGAAAGTTTTGAGCCAACATCAAAGCACTCTAGGTAAAACTATTGTCTTCTTCTTCTTCACTTCCTCTTTTACCGCTGTGGGTGTCGAGGGAGATATAAGGTTCTGTTTCTGGTTCTTCTGGCCGCCTCGACCATAGGCACATCGTGCTGTTGTAGAGCTTCTCTGATGTAATCCTTCCATCTTGTTCTTGGTCTACCTCTTGCTCTACGACCTTCTTCTCTTTCCATGTATGCTTTGTATGGTATGGTGTCACAAGGCATTCTCTCTAAGTGGGCAAACCATTTCACTTGCTGTCTTTGTATGTAATTTAGAATTGGTTCTGTGCCAACTTTTTCTCTTATGATCTCATTCCTGATCTTATCTCTTATGGTCACTCCTACAGCCCTTCTCAGACATCTCATTTCCATGGTTACTAATTTTCTTTTATGGTTTGTTGTGAGTGACCATGTCTGGCACTGGTAGCACAGAGTTGGAATAAATATGCTTTGAATAAGATGTCTCTTTGTGCTGATTGGGATTGTCTTATGCTGTAAGAGGGGGGCTAGCTGTCCCAATACTTGGCCAGCTTTACTGCATCTAATGTCAATTTCTTTATCCAATTTCCCATCTTCGGTAAATGTAGTTCCCAGATATTTAAACTCAGATGCCTGTTTAATACCTTTTCACTCTATTGCTATGTTTAGATCTGTCTTGTTTTTTCCTATTGACATTACTTCTGTCTTTTCAGTGTTGATTCTCATATTATTTGTTTTACATTCTTTATTCATCAATGTTAGATGTTGTTGCAATTTCATGGCTGTATCTGCTATCAAGGCCTGGTCATCTGCAAAGAGTAATTCGTTGATCTTACTAACATTTTCATTCATGGGCTTGGCATTCTTGCATATACTGTCGATGTAGGTGATAAACAGCAGTGGTGATAAGACACACCCCTGTCTTACACCAGATGTTACTGTGAATGGATGAGATGTTCCCTGATTTATTCTAACTACACTTCTACAATCCCTGTATAAACTTTTGCACACTTCGATGAGGTGTTCGCTAACTCCATATCTTGCCATTACTTTCCATAATAATTGTCTGTCCACTCTGTCAAATGCCTTCTCCTGGTCTACGAAGGCCACAAATAAGTTCTTATTGTATTCAATGTTCTTTTCTATTAACTGTTTAAGTGTGAAGATTGCATCTGTGCAGCTTCTATTTCTCCTAAATCCCATCTGTTCTTCTGCCAGCTATGGTTCTATTATTGGTCTCAGTCTTGTTTCTATTATCTTGGCATACATTTTGTCAACATGGCTTAAAAGAGAGATGCCTCGGTATTGACCGCATTCTCGTTTGCTTCCTTTGTTCTTCAACAATGGTATAACTATTGCATGTTGCCAATCAATAGGGGCAGTTTGTTGTACCCATGCTGCATTAAATATTCTGTGAAGCCATCTGATGCTGCTTTCACTTGCTGTTTGAATTATTTCTGTTGGTAATCTATCAGCTCCTGGTAAAAGCCGGCAATGGATTTATTATCGCTACAGAAAACACAATGAGATATAAACTATTGTCTACTGGAGTAAATGTTGAAAGATTAAGATTTCACAGAACCTAACACATACCATTCTCTTAACTAAGAGAATTTTTACCAGACAGTGACACCAGGTACAAAACTTAGGGCTACAAAAGAGGGCAAGCGGTCTTATTGAGGCAATAGATATTGATAGTGTATTATTGAGACACTTGAGGTTAGCCAAGAATAGTTAATGCTGTAACCCGGGACTGTTTAGGGGCCAGAATGTTGACACTGGGTATCGTCATGGACCAGAGGTCAGGGACCCGGTATAGAAAAATCATTAATGCAATATACACTTGGCAGTGACCTGCGTGCCACTTGCTAGGCCTCTGCAGGCCTGATTCAGTCCACGAGCTGCCAGTTGATTAGCCCTGCTGTAATCAGGCATGCGTGTTGTCAGAGGCCTCTAAGGAAGGTTGATGGGAGATAAGCTAATTATCCTGTTAAAAAAACTAGTAGTGTATAACTATTTAGGTTCAGGAAACCTACATCTAAATATTTACAAATGTTTGTAATAAAATTTTATTTTTCTCTGTCTCTCCATAGGTGAGTTGGTCAGACACAGATCACTACCAACACACAAATTTCACCAGTTATGCCAGATTTTCCATTGATGCTCTTCATGCGGCTATTAGGATGGAGAATGGGAACACAGAAAACTCACGTTCCAACAAGGACTCACCAGCCACTAATGCCGATGGGCACAACCAAAGAGAAAAGGCATCAGACTCTAGTGATGCTCATCCTGCAGCTTTGAAAGGCATCACCAGGGAGATCATCTCAAATGGGCTGAAAAATATTCAGATTTGCTACTTGAATGAAAGCCTGGAAGGACAGAACCTCGACGCTCACGTTTGGCAGCAGGCCGGACAGAAACATGAAGTATTTTGTTCTATAGAAAGAGGCAGTGTAGAAGTTTGCCAGTTAAAGTTGGAATACTTTGAGAATGATGAGTCTGATGATTTAATTTAATAGAGATTAGACAAATTCCTTTATTAGACATCTTATTCGAAGCATATTTATTCCAACTCTGTGCTACCAGTGCCAGACATGGTCACTCACAACAAGCCATAAAAGAAAATTAGTAACCATGGAAATGAGATGTCTGAGAAGGGCTGTAGGAGTGACCATAAGAGATAAGATCAGGAATGAGATCATAAGAGAAAAAGTCAGCACAGTACCAATTCTAAATTACATACGAAGACAGCAAGTGAAATGGTTTGCCCACTTAGAGAGAACGCCTTGTTACACCATACCATACAAAGCATACATGGAAAGAGAAGAAGGACGTAGAGCACGAGGTAGACCAAGAACAAGATGGAAGGATAACATCAGAGAAATTCTACAACAGCACGATGTGCCTATAGTCGAGGCGGCCAGAAGAGCTAGAAACAGAACCTTATATCTCCCTCGACACCCACAGCGGTAAAAGAGGAAATGAAGAAGAAGACAAATTCCTAAATAGTTCGCAATTTGGCTTCAGAAAAAAAAAAGGTTGTGACAGATGAGTGAGAAAACTATAGAGTATAACAATGAACTAATTATGGCTTTTATTGATCAAGAAAAATCCTTTGAGCGAGTACACCGAGTGGTCAGTGTTGGAAAAGTATGATGTAATTGAACAATTTTTAGACAACAATAGAGCTATAGGCATGACAAACTAGTTCCGTGTTTCATCTGGTGAACAACAAGGCTGTCTACTGTCACCACCCTTATTTATTATATGTATAGATGGGTAGCTTAAGAAGCAAACTCCCAGTGGGAGGATATAAATAAGTTGATATATCTGACGATTATGCCGTATTGTGCAAAGTAAAGAATAACCCACTCCGCAATACACTCTATGGGAAAGCACTGTCTGTGTCAATTATGTGTCCGGAATTAAGTAGATGCTGTCCTATGGAAGAAGTGGGTTCTTTCCCCTTGACTGGTCTCGACTGGAGTCGCCGTGATATATGCTAAATACCAAAAGAGATATAAATAGCAAACTATTTATGTCCTATTGAATGCTGAATTAAGAGTCAACATCATAGCACTCGTGAAACCCCCATAAGTGCTCTGTCCCCATCTTCAGCAGCTAGCAGAGAGTTTTAGTTCCGATTGTACCATTAACAAATAGGTTCTATCAATGTCTGAACATGATAACTAAATGGCTGTCCGAGATTCTGTGTTTTAGAAGTGTTCCAGCATGGTGTATTGAGGGGTTGGAAAATTATATGGGCAAGGTTGAGTTAACTCTTTTAGTCCCACAGTACGCTTCATAGGTTTGCACCTAGAAGCCAGATGAATGCAAGATGTGCCAATTTTATGTCTCTCTTTACTACTTCTTGTGGGTTTCTAAAACTAAACCCCCTGGGACTCAAAGAGTTAATGCATACAATACCTGGGACAGCATAGGTTAATCTAGCACAGGCTGGGACAAAAGAGTTAAAGCATCTTTTTTTATGACCGTCTTGCATTCAGAAAAGTCAATGAATTATTGTGTATTATTTTAATTAGTTAGTTAGTTAGTTAGTTAGTTAGTTAGGTTATCATCATTGCACTCCGAACATGTCCATAGGTGCTCAGATCCTTCCCTTAGTAGGAACTCCAACATCCGATGGCTAATAGTACCAGTTCTATGTTGATTACAAGTCTTCTGGTGTGCGTCTCGTTTTTTGCTGTGCCGATCTTAATTCCCAAGTCTGCCATTCTGGCGAGTGATGTGGATTCACTGCCCCAATGTCCTCTGTCCTTACCGTTTCTCTGAGGGCATTAATTAATTAATAAGTTATTGTAATAAAGTATTGATGCAGTGTATGTAATTAAGGATGCTGGCCAGTTTTAATTAATGAAGATTAACCTATTTTAATTCATGGTTATTGCTTTTAACTTCCACACATTAATGGTACTGGTTTGATTTAATTAATTAACTAATTAATCACGATTGATGGTATATTAATCAGTTAGAGCATGTTTTGACCTGTTTGAATTGATGGATTGAATGGGTGGTGGCCTGTTTTTATTAATTAAAGCTGATTTTTAAAATAATTATATAATATATTGGCTGCTTAAATTGATGAATTAATAGGTGTTGGCTGGTAAAATAGTACATTGGAGCTATTGAAAGTGAATGTCATTGACAGCTTGCATTAGTGAATTTATGTCACTGTTTTATTGAATGGAGTGACATGATATTGATATTAACTTCTAAGAGAGAGAGAAAGAAGAGATAATAAAAAGGGAAACATTTTTTAAAATGATGTACGGAAGCCTATCCTTCAGGGATCATGTGGAGGCAGTTGCGGCAAAGTGCAAAAAAGGACTCAGTGCACTTAAAACAAAGAATGTTGTTCACAATTTTCCAGCATTCTATCCTGTCAGTGATAGATTATGGACTTGGAATGCTTGTCATGTCAAAGTGTCAGCTGAAGAAACTTGAACACTCCCAGAAAGAAGCCATGAAGGTAATTCTGGGATGTATTAGAGATACCCTAGTAGTATGTATGTGATAAATACTTGCAAAGCTGACTATTACAGATAGGCTGAAAGTGCTGCCAGCTAAATCATATCTCAGACTAGCCACAGATTAGAAACTCCTTGCATGAAGTCCTAGACAAAGCTACAGGTCAGAGACTGAAAAGAGGAAGGGGGGAGGTCTTGGATGGCGCAAGCTGAAGAGACAGTTAGATATGTGTGTAGGTGTGAAACATTGGCCAAGGAAAGTAGTGGGTCAGAATGTCCCAACAAAAGTCAAGACATGTAGGGTTCTGATCACACTGGGCTGTGAGTGCAGGGCTGGCCAGCGTGTGCTGCAGAATGAGAAGTTGGACAGTTGACTCCCGACAATTCTCGCCCAGGTGATGTGATAAACTATACAGATGGCTGTGTGTTGAGGGGCAGATGAAGATCATGGGGACTCTTAGCAAATGTAAATGAATGTCCTTTAGTGTGACAAAGGCTGGCATAGAACACCACAACATCTAGTTTGAGAATGGAGGTGGAGGCAGTCACTGCAGCATTTTACTGGCTTGAGAATCAGCTATACACACATTTCGTAATTGTAACCAACTCACTGAGCATGTTGAGAAAGATGGAGACCGATAGGAAGAATGGCGAGCATTGCTTCAGAGGTCCTGGATAGTTAACGTCCTTTGGTGTTTCCCCCAGGAAATACCAGTGTATTAGGAAATGAGCAGGCAGACAGACTGGCTGTTCTGCACAACTTGATGGTGAATTGATACATGCTAGATGTTTTAAAGGCCAGTGAACACTGCGGATGCTCAGATGGATCATCATGGTCTGAAAAGAATGGTACTGTGGATCATCATGGTCTGAAGAGAATGGTATTGTGAACAGTGACCAGGGAATCTGGTTGACGATCAGCACTCAAGAGAAAGGTGCGATGGATATACAATTAGACTGCTCTTAGTACTATTGGAATTGGATCTCTGCACTTGCTGCTGAAGATGGGGATGAAGCGCTTATGTGAATGTCCCTAGTGCTGTGATGTCGATTCGTAATTATTAACATTAAACAAGATCACAAACACTGAGGTATTGGAAAGAGTGGGTATCACAACAGTTTTCTCAAGGCTCAGTCTACGAAGGCTCATGTGGCGGGGTCCCTAAAGACATCCCCTATGGTGAATTACAGATGGGTAGAAGATGACTATTACATTATAAAGATGTTTGGAAGCGGGATATGAATGATACATGTATTGCGTTAGAGTTGTGAGTACAAAATGCAGCAGACCATGTTGCGTGGTTGGGCAAATCAGAAAAGAATTAGGAATAAAGAAAGAAATGATTGTTGAAAGGGAACCGCCGTGGTCTAGCGGCTAGATGCTCGCCTGCAGATTGGAAGGTCGTAGGTTCGGTTCCTGACAGAGGCCTGACTCTTTTTCCAAAATGACCTTGGCTCCCAGGTCGACCCAGCCTTGAGTGAATACCAGGTACATTCCTGGAAAGTAAAGGCGGCCGGTGTGATGCTGACCACATCACCCGCCAAGTGCCGTTTGGTCTATAAAATATAGGTCTAGCCCTATATACCCAATACGCATAAAAGATGTGGAAAAGGGTCATTTACTTTTACATTACTTTTATTATTGCAGAAAGGTTGAGAGCTGAGCCTATGAGAAAGAAACTAACAAAACATAAATATTAACAACAGTGGCCTTGAAATCCCATACTATAATTGTGGAATATTCTTCTTAACACGAACGGGTCTTGCTAGTCACACTCACCATCGCCATGGGCTGTGAGTACCATGCCTCCTCAGAGCAGAATATAACACTATCGTCTAGAAAGGCATAACGGTACCAAGAACAACATATAAACATAACACATGTGAACGACCGAACTATTATGCATTTATTACCCATGCAGTTGAGTCTGGATAAGTAGAAGTCTCAGGGACCTAAGAAAATGCTTCCACTTATCAGGATTTCTACTTATCCAGACAGCACACACAATAGAGACAATTGCCGGGACCAAGCTGGTCATGTCGACTTAAACCGAAGTTCGACTTATCCGAGTTCGACTTAAGTAGACTCGACTATAATATGACATTGTTACTGGCTACATGGGCATTTGTTATGAGTGGTTGGCATCTGGTTGGTGGACTGGAGATGAGCGATGCCAGCGAGGGCTGCATGGAATCCTGCGTTGTAATCTAGAGCTACCTCGTTTTGCACGTAGTCGTTTCTGTCATCCTTGTAGTTGTCATTGGAGTCGGGGCCTCCTACAACAGCTCCTGTCAGCACGTGAGGGTTGGGGCCCGGGGCATCTAGCTGGTCAAAGTCACAGCTGGCTGGACGGTTGGGGCATGATGCTCCACTGTGATGTGGGCGCAGTGGGTACTTGGATCCATATCCTGGAGATGAACAATCACTCGTAATTATTTTTATGCATTGCTTTTCTGTGCTCTTCCATTCTTCTTCTTTTTCTTCTTCTTCTTCTTCTTCTTCTTCTTCTTCTTCTTCTTCTTCTTCTTCTTCTTCTTCTTCTTCTTCTTCTTCTTCTTCTTCTTCTTCTTTGTTCACTAGCTGTAAGCTCCAGCGGAAAGTAATTGTTGTTCGTTCATTTGGACTTTGGCTTTGTGCTTTTTTTTTTTTAAATAACAATAATTTAAAAAAAAATGTATCTTGCTGTCTTATTTAGGCTGTCATGCTCAGTGCCTCTTTTTTCATGTTTATCGGCTGTTAACTCCAGCGGAAAGTTCTGACTGTTCATCTACTTCTGGTCGTTGATCTTGTTCCAGAACTTGAGTTTTGCGTGCACATATATTTTACAAATCTGGCTTGGTGTGTGCAGACTATTGTTTCTTTGCCTCCTCAGGCAGATGTACTTTGACGACGGCGGGACACCCCTAATTAGTTGCCTTGTACGACATGTTAGAGGGTATCGGGTCTATATTTCTGACCCTTTCTCCTAGACTTGGTCCAGGAACCCAGACGGGAAAGCCTTGTGGGCGCCTTGTCGTCTTATTTAGTCGTTTCCCTTCTACCCTAGTTGTCAAACTGTGCTGACATCATTTCCCTTCTATGTTGTTTTTAGTTTGTATATCCCAGCTGTATAGCTGCTCTTTCCCGACGATCAGTGAAGGTTGTATGGTAAAACCGAACAACTACAAAAACACATTAATACACTTAATAACAGCTGTCTCAAGAACAACATGAAGATCAAAATATCGACATAAAAATTAACGACCATTCAAAGATCTTGGAAGAATCTTCACATCATATGGAGATTGGACAGAGAGAGCGAGTCCAGAATACAACAAGCCAAAACTGTTAACCTGTCAACTTCCCCAGTATTGAAACACCCAGCAATACCAATGGAAACAGACAAAAATCAACGCTATCGTTTTACCATCATTGTGTGTTACCAATGCCAAACCTGGGCATTAACAAAAGAACAGGAACGGAAACTAACGACTTGTGAAATGAGATGTTTGAGAAAAACAGTGAACATAACAAGAAGAGACATGTGAAATGAGATGTTTGAGAAATGCAGTCAACATATCAAGAAGAGACATGTGAAATGAGATGTTTGAGAAATGCAGTCAACATAACAAAAAGAGACATGTGAAATGAGATGTTTGAGAAATGCAGTCAAAATAACAAAAAGAGACCATAAAAGAGACGAAGATATTAGAATAGTGGAAACAACACCTGTAATTAGATTTATTGAAAAACAAAGACTGAAATGATTTGGGCATAAAGTCAGAACTAACCCAGTAAGACCGGTTGCAAAAGCATTCAACATGAGAATAGAAACATTGAGCTACAGAGGAAGACCAAGAGGAACATGGATAAACAGAATTAACAACTTGCTGAAACTCAACAATATCACCACGCAGCAAGCTAGTGTAGCGCGCATTACCCCGGAAACGGATCATTAGCCGTGCCTGCGACGCCTAACAGCTTCAGACAGAGCACGACAACAAAGAGAGGTAGTTAGCTCTTAACTACCAGGCAGTTATCAATTAAACCCCACCTGTGTCGGAATATTGTTTTAAGGCAAAGCTGCCTGAAACAACAACAAAAGTTAAATTGTGTTATTGCAGTCGCTATTAATGTGACCTGAATAATGAAACTATCAGGCAAATTGTGGGAACGACACCTTGTACTTGATTCATCGAGAAACAGCAGATCAAGTGGTTTTGCCATCTTGTTAGAATGCCGCAAGATCAAATACCATCACAAGCACTACATCTCAGAAGATCAGCTGCAAGAGGATGGCCGCGGAAAACATGGATCGACAACATTAAAGACACTCTACACCTTCACGGCATGACAATAGCCAGTGGCACCCAACGTGCACTGGATGGCAAATTATTCCTCCACACGGCGCTTAACGGCAGAAGTGGTTTATGATGATGATGATCATTAATGTGACGGACAAGGCTAAATCACGTGATTTCAAATGTAACTATCTGGGAATGAACAGGAGTAATTTCTACCAACTCCTTGTCGTCCACGACCGATGCATATTTCCCAGTCAAGTTATCAGCCACTGGAGCACATCAATCAACTACATGACAGCTGTCTCAGATATAATTTGAAAAATAAACATTAAAAAAAAAAAGTCGTGTGGTTAGCAAAAGAACATTGAACGATCGACACACGGATACAAGGTTAAGTTCAGTACTTCAAATACTTCAAAAGCATCATTACATATGATGATAAAATAGACAGATGGAAGCACGAAACCAACAGGTCAACAATGTGGCCTATCAACTGACCCACATTTTGAAACACCTGGCTATCCCAATGTAGATAAGAAGAGTGAAGGACCCGTTCCCACGTCTTTAGGCGTATAGGGCAGATAAGATAGGGTTAGACTTATATTTTATAGACCAATCGGCACAAGATGGGTGATGTGATCAGCATCACACTAGCCACCTTTACTTCCCGAGACTGCATCCGGTGACCACTCATAGGCTGGGTCGACCTGGGAGCCAAGGTCATTTAAAAAAAAAGTCCGGCTCCGCCAAGGGGGCGAACCCACGACCTTTCGATCCGTGGCGAGCGTCTAGCCTCTCCGCCACGGCGACTCCCATACACAAGAAGACAAAATATAAATGGAATCTTTGTACCAACCTTGTGGTATCAACGTCAGATGTGAACATTGACTAAAGAGCACGGGAAAGCAAACTCCCACAAAATCTAACCACATGATAAATGAGATGTTTGAGAAAGTCCACGAACAAAACTAGATGAGATTATGTGAGCAACGAAGAAATTACAGGAACTATTGGAACAAATGTGTAATTAAATTAATTGAAATACAGACTGAAATGATTTGACCATTTAATGAGTATGACTCCAATGACACCAGAAAGTAGAGCATACAACAAGACAGTAGAAACACCAAGAGGTTGGGGACGACCAAGAAGATATGAATTGAATGAGTCACTGATACCTTTAACCTGTATAGCTTCATAGCGTCCCGAGCAACCGAGCGTGCCCTAGCTTGGATACCGATAAATTGTTGAGACGCCAAGCGGCAGAAAGCAGAAAATGGACAAAGTAATTGTTTTTAAAAAAAAAGGGGCCACAAAAAAAAAAAAAAAAACACACAACTTAAATGATGTGTTTATAATTGTTAGTAAATCATAGCCGTAAATATGACACGGGTGTGCTCTACTAAAATGACATGTCCCGAAAAATATTTTCATTGACTCTGAACAGGCAACATCGAAAGACAAAAGTACTTCACCTTAGACGCACAGTCTTTGTATCGATGTAAGCAAACTGAAACTCACCGATTTCATAACTGTAGCAGCCGCCATCATGCTTGTTGTCCCCAAGGATGTAGTTGATCTGTTCCACAGCAAACTGGCGTAACTTGGCGGGCTGGATCCCCAGGTCTGCTGCCACCAGAGCTATGTACGCGGCACTTCCACTGTACCTGCAACGAAGCCATGGTCACCCATCGCAGTTTCACCAGGACGTTTTAATCTATGGATGCACGCGAAAACCAATACTCGGACACAACATGACCTTCATTTGTAGTTTACGACAGATTTTAGACCAAGCAAAACATCGATATTCTTTCGACATTTTGCATCAGCTATAGTTAGCTGTGTATCCTTTAGAGGGCGTTGCAGAACCAACTGTCATTTTTTGGCTGTTGTGGTTTTTCTAGGCGAATTTTACGCTCAGTAGTTTGCCATTGCTACTAAACGGCCAGCTCTTGGTACCACTGTCGAAACCAACGCAAGACAAACCACCAGCAGCTGGGATGGAACCCGGCACCCCGGTATTACGAAGCGCGTTCGGCCACATAGGCCGACTATATCAACTATATCAAGTAAAGTTAGGATCCATTTTTCCACAATAAAAATCCACACAGCCAGCAGTAGATTTCGATCGTTAGAATTACGTGTTGGACTCGCAACGCCTTAGCAGTTTATCAGCAATATAGAAATAACATATCTCCCTGAGGCGCCAAAAACTGGGGCTCAGTCTTCCTTCCTCTAGACAACGTGCAAGTAGCTAACAGACACCCCCCTCCCCCAACCAGGTATAGAAGCATTTTTCTTGGTATTGTTTTAAATACATGAAAGAGCTTCTTCATCCACACGGAATGACAGTATCCATTGCTGCGCATCAAGCAATGGACCGCAAACTATTCCTTCCTACAACGCTTAATTGCAGAAGTGGAAACTAATGATGATGATGTGATGTTTTTAAATACATTTCGTGTATTTCAAATATATTATAATTTTTTTAATTGGTATTCATAACATAATTATTATTATAGGGCATTGAAAACAAGGTCTCTTCGAATACTTAGAATCATTAAAAAGTTTGTTAACCATAGTTACACCTGCGCACACACGGTCAACCCCCCCCCCACCCCTTTTCACGAGAAATCGCCCAATTTCCACTCCAGCGAAAACTACACAAAATGCGCATCCCTGTCCTATGTGAATAGTTTAACAATCTTCAGCTTGGTCAAAGTCAGTAGCATGAACACGCATTAAATGCACAAGGCAGTCACCTCAGGTAACAAAGCCAACCTTCATTTACTAGACTGGTTGGTTATCGTCGATGAAGTAGCAGTCACGACAAAGCAGTTGCACAGCATAAGGCATGTGAGCAAAAATGTGTAAGGAACATTACAGCACTACGAGTGGGGTGTTCAAGGGTTGGTAGTAGCGCTGTCGGCGTCTGTGGCTTAGGCGTTGCCAGAGCATTTCGTAATGCTGGGGTGCCAGGTTCGATCCCAGCTGCGGGCCTTGCGAATTGCGTTGGTTTCGACAGTGGTATCGAGAAGCCGACCGTCCAGGAAGCAATGGCAAACTACTGGGTTAAATTTGCAAAAAAAACCCACAACAGCCAAAAGATGCTGGGGTTAGTTCTGCAATGTCCTGTAAAGTAAACGCAACTATCTTAACTTAGCAGCGCTGTAGCTCGGTGATGAAATAAAAGGAATGTTACCCCAGCGATCCCCACTTGTCTCTCCAGGCAAGACCACAAGGTGTGTAGTCGATATCGCCACTGGGCAACCAGCCGTCGGTGAAAAGAACGATTCCACAGCCTCTCTGTACTGGCTGCTCTTGGTCACCTCGTACAGCAGGGCTAGAACATGACGAAGGGGTCAACTGGGTTGTCTGTCTGTCTGTCTGTCTGTCTGTCTGTCTGTCTGTCTGTCTGTCCTGTCTGTCTGTCTGTCTGTCTGTCTGTCTGTCTATCTGTCTGTCTATCTGTCTGTCTGTCTATCTATCTATCTATCTATTTATCTATCTACTTATTTATCCGTCTGTCTGTCAGCCCGTCTGTCTGTCTGTCTGACTACTTTACCTACCTGCCTACTTGCCGGTCCGTCCGTTGGTCAGTCGGTCGGTCTCTCTAACTATCTATCTTGTCTGTCTGCCCTAACACATCTAGTGTGTAGTGTATTTACCTCCATCTGCCTACTTGCTTACTTTTATGTCTGTCTACCTCTCTCTATCTATAACTGTCTACGCTCCTTCAGCCTCCTCCCCATCCATATATCTATATGTCTGTCTGTTTTCCTAAATACAATACATCTGACAATACACATAAGACCATCAGGTAGACAAATGGAAGGACTTGTACATAAATCTGTTGTCTGCTATATGAGACGACTGATTCCTTTTGTCCTGGAAGTTTCCGTGTTTTTCATTATTCTTCGTTATTCTTATAACCCCCCCCCCCTTTCCCCTTCCCGCTAAAAAAATTTGCGGTGATACTTTTGGACAGCGATCAACAAACAGCTATCTCGACCAAGAAGACACCATCAAGAATACAACAGTTACCTTGACAGCCAACCATCTTGTCGTCCCACTCATAAGCCCAGGCGGTGTCAGTCTCCACGAACGATTTGGCATCGGTGAGGTACTGGGCGTCGTTGGTTGCCTTGTACAACCAGATGGCACCCTCGCACATATCGTCTTTGTCTCCGCTAGAAGCGTAGAACTCGTCGCTTCCATGGAAAAGTCCTCTGTAAGGAAGAGGTGGAAGTGATAACTGCAGGTAGTATGTATATTATTCTACGGTCTGCATTCTCCAACAACCGATCTTGGTAAAGAGATCCAAGAAAACAAAGAAAGCCATAGGTAGGAAACATAAAGGGTCATATAGGGTGATCTTAGTATCTTGAGCCTGAAAACGGGACATACCATTAATACCTAGCTGAAAAGGGGACATACCATTAATACCTTGAGCTGAAAACAGGACACATCATTATACATTGAGCTACCAATAATAGTTTGAACTGAAAACGGGGCATCTCAAGCAAGATAGTTTCACCGCATCCCGTTTATTTCTCACTGATAGGCAAAGGAAAGACAGGGACACAAAATCCCAGGAGCCAGGGGCTACAAAGCGATTGAAATATAATAAAATCCATTGATATTATTATAAGTGTATGTTCTATTCATAAGCTTGCTCATAGGTTATTATAAAACTGCGCTTTGTTGACATACTGTCAGGACGGTCGGGACACGCCTAACAACGGCAACTGTCTCAGTGAAAACGGGATCTATGGTCACTCCATGGAGCAGTCAGTCTGCCGGTCCTTTACAGAACGCCGCTCTCTTCATGGCAGGCTTGAAGGTCTCTCTACCTCTAGCTAATTCTCCAGCACGGTATGCTCCAGCACGGTCAATGCATCTTCAATATCTTGTACCCGATATAACGAAAATCAGTCATGCCTTGGTACGAAAGTAAAAAAAAAAAAAAGGTAAAGTCGGGAGATGTGAACCAGCGTCATTGCACACGGTTATAAACCATAAGTGCTCTGCCACCAGTACGGACAGCTGATAAGAATTGTCCGCCTGTGTCGCCGTTCACACATAACTCTGTAGCTACAGCGACGTTCCTCCAAGTTTCCCCAGAGTATCACTCTGGTGCCCATTTACTAGAGGCTGGGTGAACCCCGGGAGCCGCCCGGTTTCGAACACCGATCGTGGCTGCAGCGAGTCGCAGCTGGATTTGAAAGCCAACTTCTTATCGACTGCGCTAACGCAGCCCCCGGTACGAAAGTATGCCCTGCTACTCGGTTAAGTGTCAAAACAAGAAAGGGGATTTAATTATAGCAACGAGGGAGGGTAACGAACAAGAGGGATTAGTGCCGACAAATATAGAAAACATTACATAACAAATCTGCTTTGATTGCTCCATGGCTGTGAATCTTGGAATGTGAGCAAACAGATTAAAACATATTTGGAGGCAACTGAGATGTGGTTGTTGAGAAGAATGTTGCGAATACTTTGGACTGCCAGAATAACGTACTATGATTGCCTAGAAATGGCTAATGAAAGTAAAACATTATATACAACAATGACAAGGATATAAAGTTAGCATTTATTCTCCCATCCTATTCAAAATCACGCCCATCTGTATCTATATCTAAAGATGGCCGTGTTCAAAATCAACCTGGCTTTTGCTTGCCCCCTATATATAGCCGGCCCTAAATATGACCTAACGGCTGAACAGGTTTTCCGGGAACTCACCAAGGGTGATCCTTATTCACATGGTGGCACTTCGTGTCACCCTGTGTTTATTGCTCGTGTGATGTCCTGGTGGGACACATACACACACAAATTAGCTGGAGACAGAGTTTTTTCGCCGTGTGAAAAGGAGCACTAGAAAATAACGTGACGACTGGAAAGATGTCTGGTAGAAGAGGCAGACCAAGAGAAATGATAGTGGATGGCTTAAAAAAGTGGCATGGAGTAATAGCATCAGTGGAATTGATCTAGACCAAAGACTGAGTTCTGTGGAGTTGCATGAACGCCTACGCCAGCCGGCAAGGCAATTAATAATGAATATAGGGGGAAAACAAGAACAGACCGATTGTCTCACGCCAACACGCTTGTCCCAAGAGACGAGTAAGTTGGGGCTCCCTTCGACGTGCATCTGCTTGAGAGGCAAGGAACTATCAGTTGGCATACAGTTAAGTCAGATTTGTGAAATGGAAGTGCACGCAAAACTCAACTACAGTAACAAGACCAAAGTCAAGTAGTCAACGAACAACCAGAACTTTCCGCCCAAGTTTACAGGCGGTGAACGCGAAGAACAAAGAAGGTTCTCCTTACCTGTGGCTCTTCGCAAAAGTGTACAGACTTTTGGCCGCACTCAGAAGCTGATTGGCGTAGCTGGTATCTCCCTTGTCTTTGAATGCAATGGCTCCCTGTTGCCAGTGCGGCTACTGTCCCTCCAGCGATGTCACTGCCTTTGGTGCTGGTACTGACCACTTTACATGGTCTAGCCATGGTCATATCTTCTGCCCGACCCCAGAAGTCGTGGTCAAGGTCACCGTCTCCAACCTGGACAGTTA